TATCAAAGCAAAATATTGGAACACATCTCCTCATCTCCCCCCCACTCACTCCCCAGTCTACTTCATCTTCAAAGGAAAATGGCTAGTTTTCCAAACAATTCAAAGACTTCAGTCATATTCCAATTATCAAAGATTAAATTCCACCTAGTCTAATTAAAATAATAGGCAGGACTATCAAAAAAGTGCATACATACTGATAGGATCACATTCAATTCAGATCATTCAAATTATTGACCAGGGAATACAACATTTATAAAAACAATGAAAGTATGAAACTACAGAAACAGTAGAAAGACTCACAAGCAGGCATAATATGCAAAATTTAACTCCTTTTAAACACAGCTATACTTCCAGTGATTGTGTTCTCAATACTTTATGCAGTTCAGACTCTTGAAGAAATGAATACGAGTGTGTACATGTTAAGTATCTGCATAAGTGGCTATTGACAGATTCAGGCAAGTCAAAACAGCATAATGTGGCAGGAAACGACGAGGGAATTAAAACTAGTAAGAAAGTGTAAGTACTGTTGGGAGAGGAGACAACATTTAAGGTAAACAATGACACCTTAAGAACCCTACCTATAGAGGAAAAGATGACCAAAAAACCCAACATGGAAAAAATAGCCAAAAAATAAGATGAAAGAACAAAGAAGCACAAAGAAAGCCAGTAATCAAGTATAAAAGAGATTATACGCAGTCATGAACTTGCTGTTGAGAGACAGACAATTACAGGTGCAGTTGAAAGAGAGTGATCAGGTTAGGATGAAGAAAAATGAAGACAACAGAAATGTTATTGCTAGCAAAAGCAAAGACACCAAACACAGAAGAGTTACAGGAACCAAGATGAAAGCAACAGGTGCTACATAAGGGTTTCAAACTTATACATAAGCAAGACAATTTTGAGACTACTTTGAAGAAAGAAATGAAAAAACAATGTACTACATATGGAAGAGTTCAGCAATAGCAGAATTGTAAACATTGTTGGTAAAGAAGGTTTAAGAACAAACCTGAAACAGGCAGGCCATGGAAAGAAAAATTACTTTTGGAGGTGAACTAAATAAGACACAGACAGACCAAAAAAATATAAGGCTGAATCAACTTTGATAAGAAAAAGATAAATAGACAGGAAACAAGCGCAGCAAACATGAATGAAGTACTAGAAACATATAAGGGCAGAGAAAGAAGAGGGAGAGAGTGAGAAAATAAGTTTGATTTGGCTCTTTCTCTTCTTTTTTAAATTTAAGACATATGAGAGCACCATGTTATGAAAGTACAGAAGAAAAATCCGAAAGAGGTTTATTAATCAGTAAAACATAAGAAATAAGCCTTTGACTTTGCTAAGTGATGACCATTTGGGTGGGTTCAGTGAAGCAGAAAAAGAGAAACTTGTTTGGAAGATTAGGAAACAGACTGTACAGGTAAACAGTGTATCAGTACTCAAGTCAAAGAGAAGGCAACGGCTAGAAAGGATCACAAGAATTTCAGATAGGAGGGCAACTGGACTATTTCAGAGCAAAATGTTGCAAAGCCGTTGGAGAAAAAGTATGTAAAGGAGAAGACTGCTGAGTATGAGTGAAAATGAAAAGGATGAAGGACAGGTTTGTAGATGAAAAAGGTAGATAAGGGAAGTTTCAGAATCATGAAAGTAAAGTTCGTAAGTTTAAGAAAAAAGTTAGAATAAATCTTGGAGGTACTGATACTATACAAGTAATAGTACAGAACAATCAAATGTTTTTCATTTATAGGTACTAGTTTAACTAGAACAAAATAAATAAGCTTGAATAAAGAATTTATAGCATGCTTTCCTACATAATTCTCAGTTCGCAGGCAGCGGAGCATCACCACATGCGAGTTTCTAGTTTTAAGCTAGTAAGCCTTATGTTCTACTTCATGTCCTCTCATGTGAGGAATGAAGAAATAGCATTTAAACACAAAGCAGGATTAAGAACTTGCCTCTGTAATATCTGATCATTGTGCAAGGACACACACTGTCCATCTGCAACTTATGCTACACATTTTTCTGCTTCTAAACACACTCTCTCTATTCCAGCAGTCATATCTGTTCATGCTTTGGTTCCTCTTCAGACTCCCCCTGAGAACTGTATGTCTGGTACTTTAATATACAGCAATCTAGATAAGGAATGAACAGAGAAGATAGATTGAGACTACAACCAAGAATCTTTTGAAGCATCCCTATAAAGTCTAAAGTTCGGTTTTTCTGAGGATTTCTATTAAGCATTCCAATACACAATACCCCTAACATAGTGATCCCTGAATTTAACTTTCAACTTGAAAAAAGTTTTTGCTCCTCTCTTGATGTTTAGAACATTTTTAACAGCGCTAAGAGACACATCAAATATTTGCATTACTCATCTCGCTCCCCTTGCGGACACATGTCTCTTTAGTTTCAGTTCTGCTGATGCTACTTTTAATTACCCTTCTGCAAAACCTGAACAAGCTACACGGAACAGCAGTGTCTGAAGCAGGAAGCACAGCTGACCATCAACAATACAGCAAGACTGGCAATACAGAACACTATGAAAATGCATTAGGTAAACACAGTACTTATTTCCTAACTAAACTGCTCTGCAACACAGGCTTTTGCAGGATTGTTTTCTCCCCAGTTGATTAATTTCCCCCTGAAAGAAATAAAGGCAATGCATAAAGTTATTTTTCTGAAAACTTCTGAGGGTGCTACAATTACTTTTGTGAAGGTTAAAATCCATCCTCCTCAGAGATCTGCTGTAAGTCCAAATCAACATTTTTGATACCGTAATTATAGCCTCCAGTAGAGTTAGCAGGCAGTTCCAGCTTCCAAGCAAATGAGGAAGGACACCTGAAACTTTTTTTTTTGTTCCAGATATGTAGACAAAGACAAGTCTGAAATGTTATTTAAAAGCACTATTAAAAATAAGTAAGGAAACTTCCATTTAATTCTAATGAAGATAACACTCAAATAAGAAGAAAAGCTATAAATGATTCAAAAAAAAAAAAAATTTCTCCTTTTCATTAGAAAAGTGCAACAGTAAATAGATACTTCTAACCACAGAACTATCACAAGAACAAACTATACAGTACCCTGAAGTTGGGAGCCAGAAACTGGTCAAGAAAAGACAGTTTAAGCAGGTTGTGGAATGCCAGAGGAAAGGGAAGCTTTAACACTGTTGAATCTCAACAGAATACCCAGTAGCTTCAAAGCTTTCAACTGGAAAAAACAGGCAACCATATGCATGACAGTACACAGAAGAACACCGTTTACAATTCTTACATAAATACAAACTTATCTATATATTAATACTAGAATATTTAATATGCTTGCAACAGTCACCAGATCTAAGAGAAAAAAAAAAAAAAGTCAAGGCAGGACGTATTGCTGTCAAACAGAGGGTGGAGGGAGGATATTGCCACTTGTGCACGGGCTGCAAAACTACTTATGAAAGATAAATCCACCACACATAAGGTTGTTTCCTGATCAGTTTGCTGCCTGCAAACATGCTCTCACTGAGCAGTCATTTACTGGTACCATCAGCTGCAGGAGAGAATAAACCGGATCGAAGTCAGACAAAAGAGGAAAACTAATCATGAAAACCTCATCAGTTTTGCAGTAGATTAGGCTCAGCATATAAGAGGTTTCTTGAACTGTAACAAGAACTTGAGCTAAACTTTCAGCTGAGCCTGCCAAAAGAACAGAAAGCAAAAAGAAAAATAAGTGTGAATGTATTTGTTTTCATCTTTAAGACAGAAGACAGGAAATATGCAGATGTAGAGAGAAGGAGCTGATACAGAAAGAAAAAGCAGCCCCTAAAATGGCTGCGAAAAAGTGCATCTAACACGCATGGTGTCAAAAAAAAAAAAATTGACCCAAATAACTTGTCTCTCTAGAAAGGAACTAACGTGCTGAACTACATTTTGGTAGCCCATAAAGTTATTATGCTTGCTTGCCAACTAGTTTATAAAAATGTGGAAGATGCAGTAAGTTATGAGATGGGGAAAAAAAAATACACAAGCATACACAAATGAGAGTTCATACAGCGTTTGCATTTATGTTCTTTCAAGCTATTAAGTGAAAAAGAATCATCTAATAAAACTAATCAACCATAAATACCAATCACAACAATGAAAGACATGAAGAAAACAATTCCCTACAAAATAATCTACCTCCAACTCCCTCCCTCTCACCCACCCCTGGCCTTGAGGGAAAAGAGCAATTATTTCTTAATCATTTTATGAAACAATGTTAACTACTTTTCAGGTTGCTTAGTAGGATCTAACCTACCTAACCTAAATAAAGATAAAACTTCAATGCAAAAACAGCAAGATCAATGTTCTTTCCTTCCTAGAGAGTCAGCACTTGCAACAGCTTAACCAAGACACATTTGAAAAGTACACTAAGATTTTTTTATTTCTTGGTCAACCCTCTTTTAACAGAAATTATGCTGACAATAGTCCTCTCATAAAAGAGTAACGCATGTATTCCTTACATGGAATAACAATGCTAGGACAGCCTTAGCTGTTTGATGGGGTTTTTAATTATTAACTAGAAACAAAAAGAAAAGCTAGTATCATGCAAGTCTGCAGGCCTGCAGTGCATTTCTGTAGCCACAATTGGTCCTTTCATTACAGCTGGCTATACTGTTCCAAGAATACTCAACAGTAGTAAGCATAAACTGGTAAAAACCTAAGATATCAGTGACAATCACTGAAAGGAAAAAACATTCTCCATACTGTGAAAACTAATTCTTGCACAAAATTTACTACTATGTCTTCCTTTACTAGATTTCACAAGCAAGAAGGTAACAGGAGGGTTTACTCCTTTTAATTTAAAAAGCTTCTATCTTGGGAGTTAACAAAATTTCTTTGTGCATAACTGCAAACATTTAACATGGATCTTTGTCACTGTACCAAACTTCTCGGCATATTCCAGTCACATGTTGTTTTTACTAGCAGTCTGTTATAAAACAACCATGGCCATCAGCAGGACGTGGTAGCATTATACCATACCTTCTGGTAAACTATAGAGCACACGAGGTCTTTAACAGCAGAGAGGGACAGGTCCTGAGCTTCAATGGTGACAGTCTCCCGAGTGAGACCAATCTGCAGAAGGAAGGAGACCCCATGCATAGAGCCCCGGGAGTTGGTGAGGCTCTGGGTACTGAAACTGCCATTGGAGAGTCGACTGGAGAGCCCCGACTGGGGACTTGAAGACAAAGTTGGGGTTTGTGGTGCAGCAGCATGACACGTAGGTGGGGAAAACTTCTGTAAGGATGGGGGAGAAGAGTTGTTTGCTGACATCTGACTTGCTTTACTCTGTCGAGATCTCCCTAGTAGTCAAATTCTAAGAAAAATATGTTGTCAGTTCTTGGTTTGAAATGAAAACAAGGATAATGTAACTCTCCCTTTCTTAGTTTAGTAAAACACCCCTGACCAGTAAAACTTAATTTTCCCTTTCATTCTGTGCAAGCCAAAGAGTAAAATAATTTCAGCTGTAAGTTACTTTAAATTAAAGGTTCTCCTTCCGCAGTTGCAATCAGTTGATCAAAAGCAGATTGCCTGTCCTTTAGCACCACGTCCGGTCAACAGAGACTTATATAAAGGCCTCACAGAAATACATCAGCTCTGCTTTTTTATACTTGTCCTTCATTTTCATGTATTAAAAAAAAAAAAAAAAGGTGGAAACACAGATGGAAATAAATGTTGGTAACTCATTAAAAGTATCCTCGTTCACCTAATTCCACAGATCATATCTTAAATGCAGACTCATCTTCGTGTAGATAGCCTTTCAGAATGAGAAAAAAAGTGTATCCTTGGGCAACAACAGAAGTCCACGTATGTGACAAATCTATTCCTCCTTCAGAAAGTCTCCTCTGAATTTACAGGACACGGTTAAACTGCAAATCAGCGAAGGTATCCAATTTCATTTTTATAAAATATTTTAGCTCATGAAATGCAGGAGCAGAATGTCTGAAGACACAATCACATTAAATGTAATCTCTAGCTTCATCCAGATAATCTCCAGCATTTTGAAACGTTGTACTCCACCTGTAGGGGAAAAGATAAAGCTGTTATTTCACTTGAAATGCATAAAATTGCATAGCAATGTCATAACCACTCTACTTTGAAGCAGTAGGATCACCAATTCCTTGTACTCAAATATGTTACGTTAGTGACATTTTGTACTTATAACTTGAACTTAACTCTTTTCCCACTATATGATACACAAATCAGACCTAGCACTGCCCAATACGCTACCACATCTTTTAATTAACATTAATTTAGCAGAGCAAAGCACTTAACGGGGGGTAGACACAGCTTGTATAAAAGAAGGGTGGAGGGGAGGGGGGGAAGGAAAAAAAAAAGGGAGCGAGGGAGTAGACCACAGCTCTGCTCTGTATATGTATACTGAGAAGCTGTTGGGTAGGGAAGGAAATTCATTCAATGCATTGAAATGTCCAGCAAACCATAATGTCAAAACTCAAGAAAACCTCTGTGTAGCATGTACTTAAGATACCATTTTAATACTTTTATTCAAGACAGCTGAAGAACATCTTGCACAAATTCTAACTGTAGGAAGATACGCATAGCATACAATCAAGCATTGGTTCCTTTGGGGGGGGGAAGGGGGAAGACATTTAATGCTCACATGTCTGACTAAAAAAGCAAGTCTGCTACAACCTTTTAAAATAAATCCTTTCATGAGCACAGGCTCAAAATACTTGTCACAAGATGCTGTGCTACCTGATTCGATATTTCAAGTGTTGCATGAGCAACTGAAATGCTCAAAAAGAATCAGTTTTAAATTTCCCATGCAACTTCTGCCACAGAAAAAGTTAGCTGTGAATGGAAAAGTGGTTCAAGTACATAGATACTACATATCGCTAACAGTTTTTAAAGGAGCATAGATCCATACAGGACACCAAAAATCAATAAGCTCATGATTTTTTTCCTTCCTTTACACACACAAAAAAAAAAAAAATCTCAGAAAGAGGATTACTAAGATGAAATGAAATGCCACAGTTTAACACATACAGTAGAAATTGTCCTTACTACAAATAAGGCTGATAACTGGTAAAACAGATTACACACTCCTGGTATTTACCAGTGTAATAACTCAAAACCTCATTGCCATTGCATTGCAAAAGGTAGATAAGGAAAGAGAGGTACATGAACTGCAGTACTGGAATGAAAATAAGCTCTTGGTTCTGTGATAAAAATTTCTAACAGTGGCTCCAGAAGAGAGAACAAACTGATACCTTCTGGATTTGCAGCACAGGTATCTGTAAACTGTTGTCTTCAAATACTCAAGAGTTGCTGGACATTTACCATTGACACCTGAAAAGACCACTTCTGCCTTAAAGAACACACTGAATATGATACAGGTGAAGGTCATAAATGAATAAGGGCAGCAACAGTAATATTTAAGCACCTTTCTCAAGAAAGCAGCTGCACAGTGCCTTCAACTTTGCTTGAAGATGACTGATTTTTGTTATCTACATATTGCTTTTCTCTCCCTCACTTCTCACAGATACGGGAGACAGCAAATACCAAGCCTTCGGGGTGGATCTGAATTAAACAATAATGCCTAACTAACATAACAGAAAATGGAAAAGCCATATGCTGTGAAAGAATTAATGGGTCTACTAACCAAGTTTAATTTAGACAGTGCAAACACACTGTGAAAGCTCACCTACAGCTGCCTAATTAGAATGTTAATTATATTTACCAAAAGCATGATGCATTTGCATTTACAAAGCCCTTGCATACCAACTGTATTTGCATATAAGCCTTTAATGAAGTTTATTTTTGCTACTTTGTAGGAAAGAATGTATCTTTCTAAGAAAGGAAAACCATAGAAACTGCTCACTTTGTAGTCAGGATAAACTGATTCTGAACATCAAATAAAACAAGCGCATGTCGAAATTTATACCCAACCCTACGATTTTATATAAATATTAAAAAAAACCTAAACCTCAAAAAGCAGAGGGGCACAAGGGCTATAAAGGGAGCCCATCTGCCCCTGCTGCACAGCTCGCAGCCTACTTTCCAGCCCGCTCTCGCCGCAGAAGCGCTGACCCTCCCCTTCCTTTTGGGGCTGCTCCCAATCCAGGCAGCTTCTCCAACACCTGGCACTTGATTCGCCCTGCGCTCCCCCCGTGA